GGGGGTGTTTAGAGAGCAGAAAAGTGACAGTGGGGGATTGCACTCCCCTGTCATTTCCTGAGAGAGCGAGGTGAGAGGAGGGCTGGCACGGGTCAGTGGATGGATTGACCCCAGGCAACATGCAGACACACACAGGCCCAAACGAATCTGTGTTTTAAAATAGACTGTAACAACAAATATCGCCACAGGGCACATCTGCCAACCTCCATAACAGTCAGAGAAAGGCCTCACTAAAGGGAAGAGAGGATGAGAGAAACAAGCAGAAGTCACACATTAGTACATACTGTACCGCTTTAGCTTTAGTTTAGATTGTGTTTGATGGAAAGAATCTTTTACTTACAGTAATGAAAAATACTGTACTGGAGAGAGCATAGTTCATATGTATTTGGTGACACTTTGGGTCACATTAAGCCATCAAAAAGAACGTAATTGACATCCTTGACCTCTCTGGTCTTCATTCACGGGTTGATTCACTGTGTAGGTGAGGAGGTATGGATTAAGTGTGACCCTGTGTACTGATGTATTTATATCGTTTCTGCATGCAGCCTCACAATAAGATCTTCTGCATCCCTGGGTCGAACTCTTCCATTCCTGCCCTGTCCTCCTCCTCCTTCTCACCTCCCCCATCTTCAAAGGTTCATTTGAGTCTATAGTAGAGGGCACATCTACACTGGCCACCATAATGTTCAAAGGGAACAAATTATAGAAAGGAAGATGAAAGCCAAATACATTCTTGGAGAAATGATCTTGAGCTGGAGTGACAACCGAGCTAGAAGCCCAGCGAGGCTGCCCAGAGCGGGAGCCGAGGCGGTCAGCTCAAGGCATCTATTGATACTTCCTGTCTTACAACTGAAAGCCATGAAACACACCATGATTTGTTTTCTTTTACAAAGACTGGTGAGCACTTTGTTTTGTTTGGTTTGGACTGTTGGTTTGCATTTATATCACACATAAAAAAGAGCAAAATAGAAAACACAATAAAAATATTTTTGTAGGTAGGAAATGTTAATAACTGCATCCATGAAAGGAAAAGAAGAAAGGGTGGATGGTGGTATTATATAAGTATTGAGTGACATACAGGCAGACCAACTGATTCAGCGGGGAGCCACAAAAGCTAGCTAAGCAGCAGCAGACCTATCTTGCTCAACAGCTTGAAACTATCACCCTTTTCTGAACGAGATGTACACTGTGCCCTTTCATTGAGAAGCAATGAGCTCTAATGTCTTACCTTTGTCTGAATATTGCAATGCAATGAGCAATTTTTATCAGAGTGACTTGTTATCATTGTGACATGTTGTGACATGTTGTCTGGAGTCATGTGTAAACTGGGAGCACGCCAGCTGACAGACTTTTCTGTTCTTCCATGTGGAGTACAAGCCCTCGAAGGGATTGAGAGAGGGACAGAGAGAGACAGAGGTGTAGCTGGGCTTAGGGACCGACCCTTCATATTAAAGGGCCTTTTTACTAGGGTAATCTCTGCTTGGGGAACAGGGTACAACGCCAGGTATCAAGGGATTAAAGCTAGATTTGTTCAACAGGCTTATTTTTAGTTGGACTTACTGAGTTGCATTATTTTTTTCTGTGTGTGAGAAATGTGTTTAAGTGAAAATCCTGAGGAACATTATCAATGCCATTACTTAAAGAAGAAGCTGGCTTGGGTCAGCTTCCACCGTTGTGCTCTTTTTTTGTGTAGCTGGACGAAACCTTCTTTGCAGTTCATTTTGTGAGTGAGATACTATTCCAGGATACGTGCTCTCCTTCCTGTTGGTGTGTGTACCATATGTATTCTAGTGTGTGTCGGGACCTGCTCTCTCCCCACTTCCCACCAATCAGAGACAGAGGCAACCTGGAGTTATTAAGTGGCCTAACACAGTAATGGAGACAGAAACCTGCACATGTTTGGTTTGGGAAGATTGATCAGTCATCCTGGATTCTACCAGAGACTTGATCAATGACCCAACCTGATCAAAGTACTGCAATCCCTGGTAGGTCAGCCAAGTAGCAGCACCACAGATATGTTCATATTGTCTTAGATATGTTCATACTGTGGTAATTCCCACTGATTCATCCTCATCATTCACATATGGGAAATAAATGTTAGATTCCTTTTTTCTGGGCAGGTATTTCATGTTAGCTGTGTTTAGGCTACTAGCCTTAGCCTTATTCTGCCCTCAGCCTCTCCCAGAGCAGAGAGAGATGGAGAGGCTATGGTGTAATTTTGTCTTGCCAATAAAGTTATTTTTGAATTTCAGCGTCTGAGGGGACAAAGAGTTTGTATGGCGAACTGTAGCAATACCTGACTCATTCTGGCTACTCTTGTTTATTGCAATAAGAAAATTAAACAATAAATGTGTATGTGAGTAAAACATTATAAATGTAATTTAAATGAAAAAGAAACTTTATGGTGAATACTATTGGTATCAAGAGAAACCATGGTGGGAAAAAAGTAAATGTCAATAAATCATTAAATGAAACAAATGTCTGCAGAGTTTTTGTGAATCAACCGTCTGGTCCAGCATGTTCTATCAAATGTCATAAAGAAAAATACTAGAAATATCTCATACAGTATCTCTAATACAGTCCATTTACAGTATACAGAATCTTTCAGTGCGTCACAGTCCTAGTATCTGTATACCACTGATATGTTGAAAACACTCTTTGACAGTTCTTCTATCTGCTTGTTCCAAATTTTAATATTATTTGAATAATTTTATACACATTTACCAAAAATTTAGCCTAACATATGTACTTAGTGGCCACTTTATTACGTACCTGTGTACAATCTAACCTAATCTGATACAACTGTTAATAAATTGTATTTACAAAGTTCATAATGTTCGAATTTGGTCACATTGTTGGAAATTTAATTATATGTTTATAATGGAGGTCATAGTTGTCAGGTGGCGTTGTAATGGACAGTATTATATTGAGAGCTGTGGTTTGTCCTCTCTATTTACATACATAAGAAGGGCAGATTATAGACCTCTCAATATAATACTGTCCAATACAAAATCTTCACTAACTGTAAAAATTCATACAGGTATTTAGGGGAATCAACTAATATTTTCTCATTACCTCAACATAGATATACAAGTGTTGTTTATTTCAAGTTAATTAAACTTAAAATGTAGATTTTTTATTTTCAGACCACTTCATAACTTAAAACTTCAAGTTGTTCTAAGTTGAAGTCTTTTGACTCAAAATGATAAATGTAGTGTACAAATTCCATCAACTCATTAATTTAAGTTTTTACAGAAACATGATCAGCATATGGCAGATGGCAGGCATTGTTTGAAAGTTAAAACTTTACTGAGACCCTCCTTTATTATAGTTTGAAGAACCAATATCTGATACATTTCAATAATAAGTAATTCATTATGTTTGTTTTCAGAATGATGAAAACATTGATGACGGCATACTTACAATTAGAATTGTATAAATTAACTGGGAGCGGTTTCACATATTGTCTTTGTACCAATGTTGGTACAAAGTAGCTCTAACAGCTGCAGCTGTAAGAATTTATTTATTTAAAAAGATGCAAGGAAATCTAATATGTTTATAATCTTAATCAGTGTGACAGAACAGTTGTTAGTTCAACTTAATATCCTAAGCTTATTGAACATGTTCAGCTAACTGAACTGGTTTTATAAGTCAAATAAGACTTTGAACCAATCATTCAAGTTAACTCACATTTAAGGCATCAAATGAATTTACATATTTAAGTTGAACCAGATCAAAACTATGTATAGTGATATAACCTCTAATATATAATAATAAATAATATAATTTAGTGTCAACAAGAACTGAACATTATAGGCATAATAAAAGTAGACTTTATGGCACCTTTAAGGTGTATATAGGGATTTGGTAACAAAACCAGTTTTAGAGGATATTTTATGAGTTTGAACAATTGATCATGTCTTCCACTTGAGTATTTGACCATACAACATGCTTTTGTAATGGGCCCAACAGAAACATGATCATTAATCAGCCATTCTCATCACAGCTGGTATCAAACATTACTGAATCTCCTTTGTGAGCAGCAGATGCAGCTAGTAGGAGTAGTAGCTGACTGGTGCTGCTTTGTACTGTCTGATGAAGAGCAGCATTGTTCTGTCTGGAGAGCGTTGCTGATTTCCCGTAATAGACAGCCCTCATGTCATCCCCCTGGAACTTTTGTCAAGCATTCCCAAACAGTCTTTCAAACTGCAAAGCTACCATCAGTTCTCTGCATCCTGTAACAATACACAACTCAGCCACTAGATGGTCCTACTGCCATGACTGGGAAGACAATTCACTTGAAACAATGCAGTATAGATGTACAGAGCTGATCATTCTGCATAGTATAAAGTATCATAATGATTCACAAGTGTGTGTAAAACTGCACTGCTTTGGGAGTAATAATGGAGACTGCTGATCAAGGACATTCAGTACTGATACAAAGAGTATGCATAAGCACCTATTGTGATGAATATATACAATACAGTATATAGAGCTGCCCTTTACATAGCCATATGGCAGAGGACAGATGGTTGCTAGATTATCTTTCTTTATGGCCACGCTCATCAAAGTCATTGTAAAAGTAAATGACCCATAGGATTCTGCAGCACCTTCGGGGAAAAGAAAAATCAAATGTCACTAGATAGATCTTCAGGTGGTGTGCTGTTATCTGAAGTGCTGCCGTCTCAGGTATTTAGAAATGTAACTCTGCTGAAATATGTATCCAGAAGTCTTACATACTTGCTTGGACATTTGGGAACATGACCATGTAATTTTATTTGTGTGGAGAGAGATTTGCATTGCGTATTGTTTAGACATAAACACTTTTATTTGTTCATCTAAAGTTATATTTTATGAAGAAATATCACTATTAACTACAATTATCACAA